TGGGCTTCAAAAACATGGAACTCATGTTCCTTTCGATTGTATTATTATTTATAGTGACGGATGTATCATCTGTACAGATACTTTTTGCTAAACCAGGACCAACATTCACAAAGAACCTATTAAACTTTTCAACTACATCCTCCAATCTATTGACCTGTGTATCATTATCCATAAAATATTGAGGGTAGTTACTCTTTCTAGAACTGTTTCTAATCAATCAAACTGTTGTTTACTTAACTTCTTTTAATGGCATTAAGGCAGATGATGGTCTTGGTGTTAACCATATAGAGATGATTCAGTCAAGCATAATGTAACTAAGCTGTAGATCAAATTAAAAAAAATATATTAACTAGATGTATAAATTCTTGTAACTTACAGCCCTGACCTTACTCATGTTCTGCAAAAGGAGAGCCCATTGATGCTTTTCATTCAGTGAGAATAGACTTGATTCTGTTTGAGTGTCATTGCATTACAGTTGCATCATTTTAAGACAATTACTCAAGCAAGTACCAAGGAAATTAAATCACACCATAGGGATATTAAATTTTATCTGTGCATGCTACCTGCACGTTATTCATATCTCTGTTTCCACTGACAGGGAAATGCAAGTTACTATTTATAAACAGACATTTTTCTGAAAATATGTATATTGTGCAAGTGTTTTTACCTGTGCCATCATGACTGTACACAAGGCAGGTTATGTTGGTTTTGGATTCACTGGATACCAGATGTGAAGGACAAAACTTTTTCAGTACACCATTGTTTTCATTCTCATTAATCTTCCTCTGGTCATAGATTCTAAAGAGAGTGGAAAGAAAGAAATATCTAAGTAATAGTAAGCACTATCAGATATTATTATACTATCTCCAAAGCAAATCATTTGCATTATTAGTAAAATAATCAGCTGGTTCATACCTCACATACTGATCTCTCCCACCAACAGCAAAGTGGTGTGTCTTTGCTGGGTTGACAAAAATTGTGTACAGCCCGACTTTTTTATCACCCTCCTTCACAACCACCAGTTTACTGCCACAGAAATATAAAGAGACAAATAGGAAGAATTGGTATCTGCAATCGAATTACAATCTCAAAAAGTATGACGACACATGGCAAATACACAAGAACTGGTAAAGAGTAACACATGAAAAAGTGGATGTTCGCCAACAGCGACTAAAGGGCAGGATATTTGCAACATGTAGAAACTACATGCAGTTGCAGCAATACTATGTCTCATCAAAAATCCACCAGTAGGAATATACTTTGGCACAGCTTATGATATTTTCCCCATCTATTATCTACAGAAAATCCAACTGTTGAAGTGACTAAATTTAAGCTTAAAGGATAGGGCTAGTCATTTTCTATATTAATAGTATTTTCAAAAATCTCCATACAGAGGCCTTATCACTCACTTGGCGGGACGGTCTAGACGCAGGTCAATCCCATACACCACAGCATCTTCTCCAGCAGACAGAAAGGAGCAGGGTGAATCTGGCTCAAGGGCCAACTACAACGAAATAGGTAAGAAAAAAAAATACACAAACATTAGACTAACAGAGCCTTAATTATATTTACCACAGCTGCAATAAATGGCACAAACACCTTAACACTTACATTCACACATACAGTACAAATGCTCACCTTGTGTGCTGCCCCTTTATGCTGTGCTACCCGCTTGGTGTTCTTGCAGCGCTGTGTGGCGGAGAGCTCAGCCACTCTGATCTGACCATCTCGAGCACACATGGCCAGTGTGGAGTCGCCACTGTGAGGCAGGAACTTTGCCTGTGGATATTATAGTCAGAGCCAAAACTCTTTTTCTGTTTCTGACCATCATATACTTTGATTAGTAACACTTTAATCTCTGTCTACTCTGTTACTTAGCAAGTTGTTTCATTTACTACTGACCACATGAAATAATCATTAACCCTCACTGTTTAATCAAAAATTACAAGTTTCTTTGCCTTTGGTTTAACTCCTCTCACCACCATTCAACTTAAGTCCTTCATCTATCTGTTACATCCATCAGAAAACATCCGAAAGTTGCTTTCTCGGTTGATATGATCCACTGCCTGCATCAATTAAGTGATTACTTGACTGCCAGAAAATGTAACAATTTTAAGTAATTCATTGTTTAATCAACTTATCCAGCCAAAAATGCCAAACACCCACTGATTCCCTCTTCTCAAACATGAGGATTTGCTGCCTCTCTATTTTGTAGCATTGTAAATTGATATATCTTTGGCAAGCAATATGAAGGTGTCACTTTGGATCCAGAGATATTGCGATGGGAATTTTTTATTTTTCTGACATCTGATTCAGTTGCAGTGCTGCTGTTTTTCCTTACCTGAAAGACATTGCTCTTGTGGCCGCTCTCAAACACCAGCTCATCTTGACGGTTGGCCCAGTCCCAGATTACCACTCGCAGGTCATCACTGCCCGACGCCAGGCGTGTGCCTGAGGGGTTGAAGTGCAATGTATTGACGCAGCCTGTGTGCTTCTCCAGGCGGCCCTGGAGCTCCAGCCTCTGCACAAGGCCTCGGGCTCCACATACACGTCTCACAAACTGGTGCAAGTCCCTGCCAATCTCCCTGGAGCGCAGTGAGGGAACCGCCCGCCATATAGGACCACGGAGCTCACGAAGCTCTGCTCCCAGCCATGCTTCCATAGCCTCATCGTCGTCGTCATCATCATCATCATCATCATCATCATCTTTCTGTTCTTCTTCTTCATCCTCATCATCATCATCATCTGAGCTGGAGGAGTGATTGGTGCCACCGCCAGGTCTGTTCCTCTTTCTAGCTGCCCTTTTCCCAGCATCTTTATCCTTTGCCCTCTCTTGTCTGCCACCTTCACTATCTCTTTCACCATCCTCTGTGAAGGAATAGAGACCACTGCCGTCCATACTGTCTGTGTCTTCTTCCTCCTCTCCGTCTCCATCTGCCCCTGTCTGTCCTTCCACATCTGGCATAGGCTTGTCCCCAGATGCTTCTCCTGTTTCTGTGGAAGCTACTGAAACAGGGAAAGCCAGGGCCAAAAGGAATAAGGTTAAGACAACACTGACTCACTGGAGAGACTCAACAAAATGTGTACAGCTGCTAAACAAATTCAATTTAGGCCACAAAAATGAGATAAGCTCAAACCCAGAAGATATACATTTACATTTTGTACATTAGTAAACATATTATTGAAGTTAAAAGAGAAGAGCTGCTTTACCATCTTGAGAAGGGAACTGTGTTTGTCCTTCTTTGCTTCCAGAGGCATCTTCTTCCTTGTTATGATCTTCTCCAGGCTCTTTTTCTTCAGACCCACCTAAAAAAGCCAAACATGTAATCTGATTAACTGTCAGCACTATGGAGCATGACAGCTGGCAGAATTATGGTCAGTGTAAATAGTGAGTTATTTTCTACCACAGATCTTTTACCGTTAAGCACAGTGGATTTGCCGTCAGCCTCAGCCATTCTGTCTGTCGTGCGTCAGCCCGAGGGGAGAACCTTCGAGCGTCACACACATGTACAATATTAAAGTTGCTTATTAACCAAATGGGCTCACACTCAACATACGAAAAAAACCACTTGTATACTTAAGTAAACCGCCATCATTGCTTGCGCTCACTGAACTGTTGCCAACTACTGAAACCGCACTGCTTGCCGTGGGACAAGTTACATGTTAGCTCCGCCGCTTCCAAACTAACAGCCAGGCTAATTTTACTGCCTATCTTAGACAGCATGTAACCACATAAACAAACCAAATTGCTTCATGTCTGGCGCACAGGCCTGACAAATGCCCTCGTTTGCTATGTGATAATTAGTACACCGTCCTCTGCAAAACGAGCGTTACACTAACGTTACTTAACCCTGATATGAGCTATCGCTAACCAGCATGTGTGAGGCTAACATATTAAAACTCAAATAGTGCGGAGTGACAAAAAGCACCGCTTGACAGCCGAACAGGTAGTTGTCAAAAAAGTGAGCGAGCAGCTAGCACTGCTTGTAGAGGCTAACTAGCATAGCTAGCCTTACCTCTACTCGAAGGCCGGACGAGACGTACTTCTTAGTTTAGTCCTAATCTTTAGTGCAGATTTATTTTTCTCCGCTCCGCTACTTAGCAGTTGAGCTAAGTGCTTCGACTAGAAACCCTCTGACAGAAAAACACGACATTAATTATGTGGGCATAAAGCTTTGTGTAAGATAAAGACTATACAGCAAGTTAGCTGCATTCACGCAAGGTTGCCTGCTCTGTTTATGTTTTGACGGTTCTGCTTGTTTTTTCGTGGTTCCATTTCCGGTCCCGTTTTTTTTTCACCGGAAGCTTATAGAGAGGAACAGGAACAACAACAACAATAATAATAATAATAATAATAATACATTGTATATATAAGTTACCTACTGTGTCGGGTAAAGCGAAATGTCTTTTGACTAACTGAACAAATTCAGCTTTTAGGGTCACCTAAAGATTAATGTTATTAATGGCTTATTTTCTCAATTTATTTTCATGAATGGGCTGGCAGCCCCTGTGGGTAAAAATTTGTTGCTGGGCCTCTACTGGTACTATATTCCTTCCACTCTGTAAGCAAGCAATGTTTACAGTGATTTAAGAATATCCAACTGCACAAAAAGCACAAAAATAATACTGGAGGAACTTGAAACTAGATTTTGTCACAGGAACCTTCTACAAGACAAGGCTACATTATTAGTCAGTAAAGCAGGACTTGTTTTAAAGCTCCATTGATCAATTTGTTGGTCAATTGGAGGCAGCGCAACAAGCTGTAAACTCTATATTGACATATTTTTACCATATAATTTACAACACACACTGTAGGTATTCTAGTTTTGTTTCGGGCTGCCTGACAAATTTAAGTGCAATATTCATTCTTATTTAGCTCTGTTTTGGACCTCACCAGTCCCTGAGGGAAATATCTGTCTCTTTTGCTGTTAAATACTCCTCCATGTTCACCAGCATTTGTTGCTGGGTAAGTAGGGCTGATATAACAGATCATTTCTTTGCTGTAAGCAGCTTCCTGTTGCAGCTGGAAATTGAGTTGACGAGAGAACTGACAGTGAAGCAGAGCAGTAAAGTTGCAGGCAGTAAAACTAAAATGATGAACTGAAAGATATCATACTTCAAAAGCTTAAGAGCAACTGCAGTCAGCAACACTTTCACATTCCATGTGGACATTTCCACTGTTAATACATGCCATATTGCTTATTAGTGTAGTTCCAAATACATTTCACATTCATTTATTTTTTTCTGTCACTTCAGAATTAGTTTTCTTCATGGTCAGATTAACCTGTTAGTGAGCTGCTGGGCTCCTATTTGATGCCCTGTTCCTCTCACTCTCTGATCACTATCTACAGCTTTTCTGTGAAATAGAGTACCCTACTACCTGGCCTCATAATTTGATTTAGGAGTATCCAGCATATTAACACAAAAAGTAAATAAAATCTTAAACTAGATTTTGACACACATGCAGTTTGATAAGGCAATAAAGGAAGGCCAGTATCATGGCAGTTGTCTATAGGCTTTAAACAATCGCATGCTTTATTCTGAGACAAATTTTAAATTACAATAGCACAGTAGTCAGCCTGCAACTTTTAGGCCCCTGGATCTCTTGTATAGCCCGATGGCTGATTGAGTTGCCATTTCACTACAATACTGTACAATATTTTTTAATATTTGGAAAATGGGCAATAATTCAGAGATAGGAATCTAGTTCTGGGACTCTGAAGCAGTTAGGCCTGCTTAACTTGACCAGTTGGGATGTTACCTATAATACTGTAATAAAGTTTACCTGCCTTCTGGCAATACTCTATTTTAGCAACATGTTTAATATAAGCAAATTAGACTAGGTGTCAGTTTTGTATTCATTTTTTGCGCAGTATTCTGGTATGCTTGACCATTGTGCTTGACTGACCATTTATTAATATGAGTCCTTTTGCTCCATCTCTTTTCAGAGAAGTGTTCTGAGAGTGTCAGGTGGGTGCCATTATTTGTATTTTATTGCATACATATTTTTTGTATTGAAGTAAGTAAGAAAGCAAGTTTTACTACTGCTTAACCTACTTGCTGTTATACCAACTGACGTTCATAAGGCTGATCAGTGTCCAAGGAAACATCTGGTTCCCTCCCTCCCGGTCAAACTAAACGGGATCCCTCAACTTCCTTCCTGTGTTTATGTCATGGACTAAATGACAGTGAGCTACAGTAAATTCCATGGCAAGCTGATGTCTTTCTGGTTGTACTAGTAACACAGAGATCACAGTTCCTCTGCATGCATGTCACAAAGAACTTAGATTATAGTCACCTGTCACAGCTGCACACAATGTAAGCTGAGAGTGGGAGACTGTGAAGCAAAAGGATTACTCTGTAGCAAACACAGTTTCTTGTAAATGCTTAAAACTTTAGTTAGTCAGTTAGTTTACTGACAAGAAAGCAAATTAATTAACAACTTTAATAATTCCTCATTTAAGTCATTTATCAAGCAATACTGTCAAATATTTGCTGATTACATTGAATATATTTTGGGTTTTAGGCTGTTGGTTGTTGTTCTGGAGCATGGTTTCTTTAGATTTTTCAGAGTTTATATATTAATATTATTTGAAATAATAATCGATAATGTAGCCTAAATAATAATTTTTACAGCCAGATAAAATGAAACATGTATATCCTACATGAATGTTAAAAAAGAACCTGCACAAACACAATATTTTGCAGGTCTGGTTTCATTAGATTTTGTAAGTACATGCATCGGCAACTCATCTCTGAAGTGGGAGGAAATATAACTTTTAAAACTTCACGAGCACTACGACCACTTCTGAGAAAATATCTCAGAAGAAGGAAAGGGAAATTCACACAGAGGAGGGGTTTGCGGCAGCCAGCAGCTGTGCAGCGCCTATAAACTGCAGCAGCTCTCTTTATCCTCCAGAGGCCATGCTGGAGTTTGAATGGACAAGCAGGCGGCACTGAGCACAGCTTCTATCATCCCCTGCTCCGTTTTAAATTAGGGGAAAAGTTTCTACATTTGACAGCACCCTGGTGTTTTCAGGGTCCTCCGACAACATGGAGTACTGGAGGCAATGTGCGATGTGGCTGATCAGCTGCAACGTGCTGCCAGAGAACCACCGAGTAACTGCGGATACAGCGCAGGTGTTCGACTTGGCGCAAACCTTGCGGGACGGGGTGTTGCTGTGCCAGCTGCTAAACAACCTGAGACCTCACACCATCAACCTGAAGGAGATCAATATCCGGCCACAAATGTCACAGGTACACGGGTCATTTTTATGCTGCTGTCGTGTGCAAGGAAATGGAGAACTGCTGTGAGTTAAGAGCTTATGAGAACAGTGGAGGGTCGAATACGAGTATGGCTATTACAGCAAACCTGTAGTGTTTAGTCATAAACAGGCGCTCTAGAGCGAAGTTAGAATGCTCAGCCATTGTTACTGATGCTTATGAACACTATAAAATGTGTTGTGGTATGCATAAACTAGGTGGGCCTACTCATAGCTACAAGTTGGCAGCTGCTTTTCAAGAAATGAATGTAGAAATATAAATAAAGCAGGTCTCTAAACACCACAAAAAAGTAGAATCCATGCTGGAAAATCATTGTTTTTATTAGAAGCACCTGCAGGTATGGAGCCAGATCAATGACTTGAGTATTTGGCACTGAAAAATAAAGCTTGGCACTCGAAACAAAACCTTTATTAAAACAAAAAACTAAACCATAACTGAAAAGCAAACATTAGCATTGAAGCATTTGTACTGAAAAAACAATGGCATTAAAAAAGTATTAATACTGGAACAATGACAATCTTATGATTATTTTTTAAATTATGATAATTTATAAACTAAGGTTTTTACAGATTTGAAAGTGACTGTTAAGGGTTTTTATTTATCCAGAGGTGTAAAAATCTGTTGTAACATCTCCCTTAACTGTCAAATCCAAAGCCAACTTCACCGTCGTACGGCTTCCCTGCGTTCAGCAGTAGCACTCAGACCATCTTTCACTGTACTGGCATTTTCCAGCTTCAGACAGGCCTAAAATTTATTAGACTCATTCCACAGGGTGTCATCTAACATTACTGTGTGGAAGACTGTTTGGAAGATCCCACAGAATGTCTCTGATAAGCAGCTGTGCGCTGTTCATGTTAGTTACAGCTAACATTAGCTATATTAGCTATAGCCTACTTGTAGCTAACATTAGCACTTTCTGCAGCAGACCTCTGTCACACCAGCATAAAGTCAGTTAAAAGTGAGCTTTATCGTAGCTTATTTCTTTGAGTTAAGACACTAGTAGAGAGAAACACACAGCACTTTGAGAGTTCCAGTTGGAGAAGCCGCTCCAGTAGTGATGCAGCCACCCTAGGCAAACAGAAGCCTTAATGCGAACAGCAGCTCAGGGGAGAGACCAGTCCTCTCCTCATGGATCTCAACCACAGTATGCAAATCGCCTTTCTAAAGCCCCGGCCCTCAAAGCCCTCCCCTCCACGCCAAAACAATGCCAAATAAGTGAAAAATCAGAAGATTGTGAATTTTTCCAGTATTAATACTTTATTAATGCCTTTTTTATACATGCTTCAATGCCAGTGTTAGTTTTTTGAGTTATGATTTTGTGCTTTTCAGTAGTGCCTTTTTTTTAATGCCAAGCTTTAATTTTCACTGCCAAAGAGTAAAGTCATCAGTCTGGTGCCATATGCAGGCAGCAACAGTAACTGGGGTACAGAGTTAATAAAAGTTTAATGCAGAAGTATTGGAGGAGTCTTTTTTTTACCCCTTAGCTTTTTCCATGAATTCAACATAGACCATGAAATTGTCAATATTTGCAGCTTTTGATGATTTCCTGTCTGTCACACACTGTTGTGTCCAATTCCAGAGCCACGCTCTTTTCTTTGGCACCATTTCAACCTGATAAGTGTCACAGTAAACATTAAGGCCACAGAGTGACCTCTGACCCAGACTGAGATAATCATCTGATGTGGACAAGTCTGTTCTCCTAAATATGATAATTAATCCAATCTAATTTATTCAGTTTCAGTGTATTTAATATTGATTTATACTTAGTGAGGGGCTGCTAAACATCCCTTAGCCTGGGAAACCCAAACAAATGACCCGAGGCTTGCCCTCTTTACCCATCATTCCTCCTGCTGCCACTGGGGAGGCCTGAGAAAATCCTGGCTTTGAGATGAAGTAAAATCAAAAGTAAGTGATTGAAAGTAAATAATTTGTGAAACTTATTTTTATTGATATAACTGAGACACATTTCTAGCAGTATCCATATGTGCCTGTGAAAAACACCATCTAGTCAGACTCAGCATCATCATCGATACTTTTGATTCCAAATAATCTACAACAGTACAGTAATATAAAACACCATGTTATGAAACACAGACACACAAATGCCTTAGGTAGGTCTAATAATTTGTTACTGACTTCACACGGTTAACATTTTAAATTGTTGTCATAGATGTATGAGTCCGTAAAAATGAATTTAATCAGAGAAGTGGGTTTTAATTTTAAAATCCTCAAACTGCCAAAAATAAACAAAACCGTTTAGACAAAAAGACATTCTGCCTTCAAATATCTTTGCTTCAATGATAAATTTAATTTTGTACCCAAGCTGGGACTTTGGTTGTGCTTTGTCTTACAAACTGCTGTGCTGTGTGGTACACGTCCACTTGTCTTATATTGTGACAAACAGTGAAAGCGCACACAGGGCCTCATGCACAGTGGATAGTCATAGCCTACAGCTATAGGCCATCTGACTATGACCATTGAACTAGAGTTGTGAGAAGCATGCATGTCAGTGAGCTCCAGATTGTAAATGGCTTTCATTGTGCTTTGCTGACCTACGATCTGGGAAGTGGAAACAAGGGCTCGAAGGTAATGGACTGGAGCTAGAGTGGAGCGCAGGGCACTGTGATGAAAATGTGTCCAGAATTGCATTTTTTTTTGTGCTGCATCCTAGGGCTTGGTGCAAATACAAAACATGGTGTTGACAGTAAAATTCTTATGTATGCAGTTTAGACAGTTTATATGTTTTCTGCTTTTGTACATTATTTACTTTATTTTTTCATTAAGAAGGTAAGAGAACACCTGATAACCAGAAAAAGAGAATCTTCCAAGAGAGACTCCACCATCAGACAAATGAATGTTGATATATATATGAGCACAAATACAGTGTGTGTATGTGTGTATATGCCTTTTGTATTACTTACATTATGGGGACCGAAACCTGTTAACACACTCACATTGTGGGGACCCGGCCATCTAAAATCACCGAATTTTAGAGTGACAAGATGGTTTAAGGTTAGGTATTAGGGTTAGACAAGTAGGGGTTATGGTTAGGGTTAGTTTTAGTCTACAAGAGATGAATGTAAGTCAATGTAAAGTCCCCTCAAGGAATGAAAGCACAGCGTGGTGTGTGTGAACACAAATAAGATAATAAATAATGTCAAAAGGTACAAAGAATAAAGGGTTCAGAAGGTAGCCCAGTATCAAATTAACAGGAAAAGGATTGTTACTAAACAAATCACAAATATTTTTTGCACAGTGACTTCAAAAATACCAAGAAAAATGTGGACTTTTAAGTGTATTTTTTCCTGCAGTGAAGCCAAAGATGCTCTGTTTTACAAAGTAGATGTAAACAAAACAATAAGCGCGAGGGCTGTGACCAAGGCTGGCAGTTGTGCAAAGCCATCACATTCATGCACTTCCTCTGCAGACAAACAGGGCCCCCCGGGGTGGTGGAGTGATTACAGGCGCCTTCTCGATGAGCTGATTAAAATGAGCCTATTTATTCTCAAGAGCCTTGTTCTGTTCTACTTCAAATGATCACATCATCACTTAATAATGTGCTCGAAGGGGCAAATCATGTCTTTACAGTTTGCTGTTTGAATACTTTGCTGGATGTCTTCATACTTAATTTTTAGTAGAAGTGGCCCAAGCCTGACTCTGACCTCAACCTTGGACCCTGACCCATGACCATAATCACATTGTCTGTATGAAATGTGACTGTGCTCTTCCCACTGAGATGCAGATTCTAAAGGGAAATGACACAAAAAGAGCATATTGTCAGTGGTTTCATTTTTCACCATGAAACTTTCAGTTTTCACTTTCTTTTTGTGGGGTGTCTGGTTCACCTTCACTTTTATTAAAGCATCTTGAAATTCCCTTAACTCTGGTTACAGTGTTACTGCAACAGAGGTTTATTTACAATAAAACAGAATTAAATGGTTAGTTTTCCTAAATTACATAAAAACACATTTCTGCTGACCTCTGAACCTGTTTCATTCACACAGGGTTTGAGATTTCTGCTGCAGTTCAAGTACAGCTGTGATGAAGTGAACTTCATCTGTGGTGCTCAAAACACTGAAGAAACAGAGAGTGCAAAACTCCACCAAGGCAGAGCACTGCCCCCATAATGCCATTGCTCCTAAAAGTAATATTCCCATGATACTGTAGTTTGACCTTCATAATATGACTCGGTGATCATGAAAACCTAGCCCTGGCATTTGGAATCACATGTCATTCTGATATCATTATTAGTTTGAATTTATTCAATAAAAACAATATTTCAGTAATTGCGGTGTTCTTCGGCATTTAGCTCAGTAACTTTAAAGATACGTCAAATCTGTTGACACTCTACTTAATCAACAGAGTTTCAGCTAGAATTTGATCTTAGTTGGAAGTTAGTAACATTATTTGTTGTCTTACAATAGGGAGTTTTCTGTGAACCCTATAAATCTGAACATTCTGGATCACACAGATGTGGATTATTACTTGGATCCAGATCATACTTTGTGTGTGGTAAATCTTATATGGATACTATTGTGCAATTTTTGTCCAAGCACTGTAGGCATTATGCATGGAGTTAGAAGCAAAAATATTGAAACTGGCCCTATCTCACAATGGTGAAGAATCCTGGATCCAGATAGCGATATGGATCAGCACCAAATTCTAATGTTTGTTCCGTGGGCCATACACTGCCTCTTCAAAAATATTCTTGCAAATCCATTCACTACTTTTATGAGTTATGCTGTGAACAAGCCAACCAAAAAACAAACCAACAAACAAATGCCAGACAGCGTAGATAAAAAATAATTAAATTGATTTAAATATATAAATATATTTAATGCAGAAACTGTGTCAATGTTGCTTGGATCAGTTGTCCATACAGGGAGTGTTTCTTTGTCAAATAATTAGTTCAGAAATTACTACTGACTGCTTATCCTTATTCTGTGGCACTTTTTTTATGTAAAGAAATGTAATTTCTAACTTTAAAGTGCTATAGTTTTTGAGAAATCTGAGCCATGGATTTCTCAAGTCCTGGGCAGTTATAATTAGATTTTAATTCTGCATCTGATTGTGGTGGTGGTGGTGGTCTAACAGTAATATTACTTAAGTAATAAACATGCACCATGCTCTCACCATGTCGCTTGGCTAGATACTGCTAACAAGCAATACAAAACTGATGTGTGTCCATTTTTTGCCCTTTGCAGTTTCTGTGCTTGAAGAACATCCGGGTATTCCTGACATCTTGCAGTGAAGTGTTCGGGATGAAGAAAAGTGACTTATTTGATGCTTTTGATCTCTTTGATGTTCGAGATTTTGGAAAGGTAACATGCAGGTCCATATTTTTTTCCGTCACAAGTCAATGAAAAATCCTGTGTGTCATGAATGACTATTCTCAGCAACAATTTGTTTTGTTCTGGTCTGTTCTGTTCTCTTTTCGTCTTTTATTGAATTAGAACTGGCACATTGCCTGTTAAACTGACAGCTACAGCTGAGTGATAATGAGGCTTGTAGTTGCTGTTTCTAATAAATAATTCAGTTTAAGGATTTTCTCAAAGGATTGGATGGCATTGTTAGAAACAATATATTTCACGTTGGGAGAATGTGTGTCACAAACACCCAAACTGTGTTCCAGTTTGCAAACAGTATTCATCAAACCAAAAAAAAGCTGTAAAACATATCACCAAAAACAGCAAAAAGGAAAAAGAATCCGCTCTTTCAGCACAGTACATCAAATACCTGGTTCACAGCTGCAGTTATTTAGTGGGGATAAGAAAAACTTGAGATTAATATGAGTAGGTGAAACCCAAACTCTAGTACATGTGCAAGCCATACTTTCTTTCATAGTTTTTTAAAAAGTAAAGGGAACCAAATGAAGAGAACAAGAAATCACTAAAAATAAGTTGTCATCACATCATTGTGGCATTTACACAGTAGCAGCAATGAATGTCAACGCTGTAGAAAAACTGTAATAATCTCGAACCATCCAATCTACATAAATCCAGTCACACATTTAGATTAGTATATAATATAAACAAAGTGATAGAGAACCAGTCAGATGTATGGGGTCACCAACATGCGTGGCGGACGTGTGTTTGTCGGTGTGTGTGTGTGTGTGTGTGCATCTAAAATCACCGAATTTTAGAGTGACAAGATGGTTTAAGGTTAGGTATTAGGGTTAGACAAGTAGGGGTTATAGTTAAGGTTAGTTTTAGTCTACAAGAGATGAATGTAAGTCAATGTAAAGTCCCCTCAAGGAATGAAAGCACAGCGTGGTGTGTGTGAACACAAATAAGATAATAAATAATGTCAAAAGGTACAAAGAATAAAGGGTTCAGAAGGTAGCCCAGTATCAAATTAACAGGAAAAGGATTGTTACTAAACAAATCACAAATATTTTTTGCACAGTGACTTCAAAAATACCAAGAAAAATGTGGACTTTTAAGTGTATTTTTTCCTGCAGTGAAGCCAAAGATGCTCTGTTTTACAAAGTAGATGTAAACAAAACAATAAGCGCGAGGGCTGTGACCAAGGCTGGCAGTTGTGCAAAGCCATCACATTCATGCACTTCCTCTGCAGACAAACAGGGCCCCCCGGGGTGGTGGAGTGATTACAGGCGCCTTCTCGATGAGCTGATTAAAATGAGCCTATTTATTCTCAAGAGCCTTGTTCTGTTCTACTTCAAATGATCACATCATCACTTAATAATGTGCTCGAAGGGGCAAATCATGTCTTTACAGTTTGCTGTTTGAATACTTTGCTGGATGTCTTCATACTTAATTTTTAGTAGAAGTGGCCCAAGCCTGACTCTGACCTCAACCTTGGACCCTGACCCATGACCATAATCACATTGTCTGTATGAAATGTGACTGTGCTCTTCCCACTGAGATGCAGATTCTAAAGGGAAATGACACAAAAAGAGCATATTGTCAGTGGTTTCATTTTTCACCATGAAACTTTCAGTTTTCACTTTCTTTTTGTGGGGTGTCTGGTTCACCTTCACTTTTATTAAAGCATCTTGAAATTCCCTTAACTCTGGTTACAGTGTTACTGCAACAGAGGTTTATTTACAATAAAACAGAATTAAATGGTTAGTTTTCCTAAATTACATAAAAACACATTTCTGCTGACCTCTGAACCTGTTTCATTCACACAGGGTTTGAGATTTCTGCTGCAGTTCAAGTACAGCTGTGATGAAGTGAACTTCATCTGTGGTGCTCAAAACACTGAAGAAACAGAGAGTGCAAAACTCCACCAAGGCAGAGCACTGCCCCCATAATGCCATTGCTCCTAAAAGTAATATTCCCATGATACTGTAGTTTGACCTTCATAATATGACTCGGTGATCATGAAAACCTAGCCCTGGCATTTGGAATCACATGTCATTCTGATATCATTATTAGTTTGAATTTATTCAATAAAAACAATATTTCAGTAATTGCGGTGTTCTTCGGCATTTAGCTCAGTAACTTTAAAGATACGTCAAATCTGTTGACACTCTACTTAATCAACAGAGTTTCAGCTAGAATTTGATCTTAGTTGGAAGTTAGTAACATTATTTGTTGTCTTACAATAGGGAGTTTTCTGTGAACCCTATAAATCTGAACATTCTGGATCACACAGATGTGGATTATTACTTGGATCCAGATCATACTTTGTGTGTGGTAAATCTTATATGGATACTATTGTGCAATTTTTGTCCAAGCACTGTAGGCATTATGCATGGAGTTAGAAGCAAAAATATTGAAACTGGCCCTATCTCACAATGGTGAAGAATCCTGGATCCAGATAGCGATATGGATCAGCACCAAATTCTAATGTTTGTTCCGTGGGCCATACACTGCCTCTTCAAAAATATTCTTGCAAATCCATTCACTACTTTTATGAGTTATGCTGTGAACAAGCCAACCAAAAAACAAACCAACAAACAAATGCCAGACAGCGTAGATAAAAAATAATTAAATTGATTTAAATATATAAATATATTTAATGCAGAAACTGTGTCAATGTTGCTTGGATCAGTTGTCAATACAGGGCGTGCTTCTTTGTCAAATAATTAAATTGATTTAAATATATAAATATATTTAATGCAGAAACTGTGTCAATGTTGCTTGGATCAGTTGTCCATACAGGGAGTGTTTCTTTGTCAAACAATTAGTTCAGAAATTACTACTGACTGCTTATCCTTATTCTGTGGCACTTTTTTTATGTAAAGAAATGTAATTTCTAACTTTAAAGTGCTATAGTTTTTGAGAAATCTGAGCCATGGATTTCTCAAGTCCTGGGCAGTTATAATTAGATTTTAATTCTGCATCTGATTGTGGTGGTGGTGGTGGTCTAACAGTAATATTACTTAAGTAATAAACATGCACCATGCTCTCACCATGTCGCTTGGCTAGATACTGCTAACAAGCAATACAAAACTGATGTGTGTCCATTTTTTGCCCTTTGCAGTTTCTGTGCTTGAAGAACATCCGGGTATTCCTGACATCTTGCAGTGAAGTGTTCGGGATGAAGAAAAGTGACTTATTTGATGCTTTTGATCTCTTTGATGTTCGAGATTTTGGAAAGGTAACATGCAGGTCCATATTTTTTTCCGTCACAAGTCAATGAAAAATCCTGTGTGTCATGAATGACTATTCTCAGCAACAATTTGTTTTGTTCTGGTCTGTTCTGTTCTCTTTTCGTCTTTTATTGAATTAGAACTGGCACATTGCCTGTTAAACTGACAGCTACAGCTGAGTGATAATGAGGCTTGTAGTTGCTGTTTCTAATAAATAATTCAGTTTAAGGATTTTCTCAAAGGATTGGATGGCATTGTTAGAAACAATATATTTCACGTTGGGAGAATGTGTGTCACAAACACCCAAACTGTGTTCCAGTTTGCAAACAGTATTCATCAAACCAAAAAAAAGCTGTAAAACATATCACCAAAAACAGCAAAAAGGAAAAAGAATCCGCTCTTTCAGCACAGTACATCAAATACCTGGTTCACAGCTGCAGTTATTTAGTGGGGATAAGAAAAACTTGAGATTAATATGAGTAGGTGAAACCCAAACTCTAGTACATGTGCAAGCCATACTTTCTTTCATAGTTTTTTAAAAAGTAAAGGGAACCAAATGAAGAGAACAAGAAATCACTAAAAATAAGTTGTCATCACATCATTGTGGCATTTACACAGTAGCAGCAATGAATGTCAACGCTGTAGAAAAACTGTAATAATCTCGAACCATCCAATCTACATAAATCCAGTCACACATTTAGATTGGTATATAATATAAACAAAGTGATAGAGAACCAGTCAGATGTATGGGGTCACCAACATGCGTGGCGGACGTGTGTTTGTCGGTGTGTGTGTGTGTGTGTGTGTGTGTGTGTGTGTGTGTGTGTGAGAGAGAGAGAGTTTAAAAGCAATCAATATTTGTCCACCCATTGCCTGGTCTTGCATTTTTCTTGTGCACTTCTGAAGGGATTGGCCAACTTCTTTTTATTGTTGTGTTATTATGTGAGCCGGTCTCAGTGTTTGCACAGTGTTAACAGGTCAGTGGGTTTGTAGTGCGCTCCTCAGTTGTCTCTCGTGGAGCCTGATTTAACTTTGCTGAAGAAAGCAGTCTCATTCTGAGCAGCCTTATTCCCACATTGCTTCACTTCAGTGCATTTTGTCCATAAATTTCTATTATAGCATTTAGAGTTGCCTGAGCATTTCTAGGCTATGCATTAGGAAATGGATTACTGTTTATTTCTACCTACTGGAAAGTATGTTCTTTGAATTAAGATGTACTAAATATATATATTTTTATAAATTCAGTTTTAGGTATTGTTTATTTTAAATAGCTTATACAGTATCCCATGTGGTTTGAGAATTTCGGTTTTGCCCTGTTTATGTGTGGTGTTGTTAGGCCCCTTTTACTGAGGCACGTGCCTCAGTATTGATCTGCTCTGCCCCAGTAAACTCACAGATTTGAGTTTTAAGAAGATCCTTGAAGATATTTGGCAGTGGATTAATTCAGATTGATAATAATGGGAAATGGATTCATTTGCTGTTCTAATCCAGAATGTCAAAGGAAAATACAGTCTGAGGTGCATTATACACTACAGTGCGCATGTATGTATGTTGTAGCTGGTGCACTGCAGCGCGCATGGTAAATCTTATATGGATACTATTGTGCAATTTTTGTCCAAGCACTGTAGGCATTATGCATGGAGTTAGAAGCAAAAATATTGAAACTGGCCCTATCTCACAATGGTGAAGAATCCTGGATCCAGATAGCGATATGGATCAGCACCAAATTCTAATGTTTGTTCCGTGGGCCATACACTGCCT